GGGGGGGGGGGGTAGGAGGCAGCCAATCGATGACTCTCTCTCATCACTGATGTTTCTCTCTCTCTCACTTCTTTTCTCTCTAAAAATCAATAAAAAACATTACAAAAAACCCCACAAAAATACAAGGAGACATTTTCCTGGTCCGACATTTCATGAGAGCAGAACCATCTTCTAGGTGATTGTCTAAATCGTGTGTGAATGAATGTCAATGGTTATGGGATTTCTTCAAAAAGAAAAATCTAAATTGTTCCTAAAAGGTGGCTACGAACATTTGAGACAAATGTCACATGAAGAGAAAACAACATCAGCGAAACAATCAACATCGGCCCAACGCCCAGCGTTCACAAAGCTCCTTCTGGCTACTCCACCCCGACCGCCCCCTGGGGGAGATGATACCATGATCCCCACTTTTACAGACGTGCGGCTGAGCCGAAACGTCTCGCTGAAGATCTCGGGGCTGATGAATAACTGAACTGTCCCGACTCCGGCATCAGCGTCCCCCTTGCCGCCCCGAAGTTCCTGCCTGTTACTAGGAAGCCGATGATCTCCTAACCCCCCAACACACTCTGCACTGGCTGAATAAGAGGACCGTCTATTCTCAAATTCAACAGAAAACCGAAGAAAGTCCTCACCTTCAGCACCTTGAGGTAGGGCAGCCCATCGGGCCCGTATTTACTTCCATTCCTTTCCACGTGCTTGATCCACTGGATGTGGGGCTGGGCGTCGCTGTAGACTTTGCAGACAAACTCCACGTCGCCCCCGACCACGGTGGAGGCGTTGGCGGGCAGTCCGGCCTGGAGGATGGGCCGGTGCGGCGATCGCTCTGGGGGAGGGGAGGGGGGAGCGCGGACGGGAGGGGGAGAGACGAATAAATAAGTCATGTGGTCCGGCCGTTGGTGAGCTCCAGCCAAGAAGGTCTCAGCCTGCTGGCCGACTCCTTTGAAACAACACGGCCGCCCAACCAGAGCAAAAATGACTTCAAAGGAGACGGCCGGAGAGCCGACATTCTCCTGAGAAGAATACTTATTTAGAAAACCGAGCAAAGGACTTAGGATATTTCAAGTTGTTGGCTGTCCGTGGCACCTAATCAACAAGGGAGAAATTTTACTTTGACGACCCACAAGACAGACGGTGAGCCCGCGGGCGCCTCTCCACGTGCTCCCCTTCTGGGGCGACGCCGGAGACTCACCTTGACCATAAGCTTAACATCGCGGGCAAGGGACCTACTTTCTTCTTTCTGGTTAACTCTCATTCGAGGATGTTTTTTCCACTGATCTTCCTTAGAGATAGCGGAAGGGAGGGAGGTGGGGGGAGAGAGACACGACTGGTTGCCTCCCGCACACACGCACCCCGACCGGGGCTGGGGATCAAGCCTGCAGCCCAGGTACATGCCCTTGACCAGAAATCGAACCCGAGACCCTTTGGGAGGAGGTGGAGGGGGACGCTAACCACTGAGCCACGCCGTCACCCCGAACACATGCCTAAGAGGCTCTGAGAAGATTTTCCTCACTTGTTTCAGAAATAAAATAAAACTAAAAGCTAAAGCCCAAAGCCGTGAACAGGCTGAATGAACAAACGGTTTCCTCTCTTTACGGGAATTTATTCCATCCATTCATTTTGTATCCCCCGGTCGCTTCCCTGATAAATATTAAGTGTTACTGTTGCCAAGTGCTGGACGCACAAGCAGGCCTTCCCGTATTCGGACGTGGCTCTGAAGAAACAGCACAGGGACCCCAGCGCCAACCCCGGCGACGCTGCAGA